GAGAGAGGCCACTCAGCGAATCCAGGGCCTCCTAGCAGGTGAGGGGACAGGAGGTGTGGGGGAGCATTGAGGGACAAAGAGGTCTAAGGGAGGGAGAGCAGCACAGAGAAGGAACTGAACACAGAGATGTTGAGTTGAAATTGTCCTCTTGTCTTGTTAAGTCCCTCCAGTTCGAGGACCCCTGCTTCTGAGTCGAGACCCTGCACAATATTGCCATGCTGTCTGGGGAGACCCCGATACTCCAAACTACCACCGGTGAGTTTGTGTCATTGAGAGTGTATACAGCACTTCTTCAGGAATACCCTGAAAGGTCTCCAGGTCACATGCAGATATTCATTCTTGGCAGGTGCAGCCACTTGAACCCAGGGTACAAAGGAGAGAGTTGCGTGGGGGCTAAGGTGAGAGCAACTTTCTTTCCAGTCAGGGATCTGACCTCCGCAAAGCCTCCAACATCTGATTAACCTATGCATTTCACAGCATGTGGATCCCTCAGCCCTCCACTCCCACAACTCCAAAATACGTTCAAGCAGAGCCTTAGAGCGGCTGGGGCACAGTTCTGCACGCTAATCAGCTGCCTGGATGGCCCAAGATAGATCAAAGATGCCCACTCTTCTTTTCCTTTAGCATCCAGATTCCCACTGCCCCCATCCACCCCTAAGCTAGATGCTACATTTCACCCCCTGCAGATTCCTGATGCCCATCTCCATGGTTACGCCTTATGGCCAGAGCATGGTCCACCACAAATTAATCAAGCCAGATGGGCCTGGAGTCCAAAACACTGATTTCCTTCTGTATGTGCGGGTTGCCCATACTGCCAAGTGCCACCAAGAGGTGAGACTCAAATTATATCCTTTGCTCTCTCTTAAGTCTTGTGAGGAGAGGTAGTTCTTATTAAGTTGTGCTTTTTGGAATAACTTGGGGCATGCTGATAAACCCTGAATTGAATAGAAGTTAAAAGCCACCCCCCAAAAAAAAAAGACAAAAAACAAAAACAAAAAAAAAAACCTATTGCTTGACACCATACCTGTAGGGTTCTACATTTTCAGGAAGATTCCTTCTATTTGTGTAACCTCTTCCCTCCTTTCCATCTGTTCTCTCTCTGGGCCCATCTGCAGCCTTCTGCCATAGCCTATGCTGCTTGCTGCCAGTTGGACTCAGAAGACAGGCCTCTTGCTGGTACCATTGTCTACTGTGCCCAGCATCTCACCAGCCCAAGCCTCAGCCACAGTGACATTGTCATGGTGACGAGGTGAGACCCAAATTATATCCCTTTGCTCTCTCTTAAGTCTTGTGAGGGAGGTAGTTCTTATTAAGTTGTGCTTTTTGGAATAACTTGGGGCATGCTGATAAACCCTGAATTGAATAGAAGTTAAAAGCCACCCCCCCAAAAAAAAAAGACAAAAAACAAAAACAAAAAAAAAAACCTATTGCTTGACACCATACCTGTAGGGTTCTACATTTTCAGGAAGATTCCTTCTATTTGTGTAACCTCTTCCCTCCTTTCCATCTGTTCTCTCTCTGGGCCCATCTGCAGCCTTCTGCCATAGCCTATGCTGCTTGCTGCCAGTTGGACTCAGAAGACAGGCCTCTTGCTGGTACCATTGTCTACTGTGCCCAGCATCTCACCAGCCCAAGCCTCAGCCACAGTGACATTGTCATGGTGGACTACTGCATAATTAATAGGAAAAGTAAACAGGTGGTAGTCATGGGTAGGGGAGGCAGATCATTCAGCTTCTCATGAAGTGGAAGAACCAACTGAGGAAGGAACAGAGGTTCCTTAAGGTCTGAGAAAAGCTGCTTAGGCAGAGGGGCTGTAGAATCTTGTTGTGGATCCAGCTCCACCTCACTCAGCACTCATCTGTCCTTAGGCCACTCTACATGAATTGCTCCATGCCCTGGGTTTTTCTGGACAGCTGTTCAAGAAATGGCGGGACTGCCCCTCAGGATTCAGCAGTAAATGTCAACTGGAGGGAATTGGCTACCTATGACTTCATTTTTTCCAAGTCTGTGTCTACTTCACCCTTCCTAAGTTTTCCTCTACTCATATTGCCTTCTTCCCTTTCTATACTCAGTTAGAGAGAATTGTTCTACAAGACAACAAGTGACAAGAAGAGATAAGTGGGGACAGCTGCTTCTCACCACCCCAACTGTTAGCCACAGCCTGGCCAAACACTTGGGAGTGCAAGGGGTTTCTCTGGGTGTTCCCTTGGAAGAAGAGGTGAGAATGATAACACTGTGAGGTGATGGAAGAAAAGAGTAGCCAGACAGCAACCAGCTGTTTGTTTCCTTCTCCAGCAGGGCCCTTTGTCCTCACACTGGGAGGCCAGACTACTCCAGGGCTCTATAATGGCTGCTACTTTTGATGGTGCCCTGCGCACTCGACTTGACCCAATCACCCTTGCTGCCTTCAAAGATTCAGGCTGGTATCAGGTCAACCACAGCGCTGCAGAGGAGCTGTTGTGGGGCCAGGGTGAGAAATAAGGGAGATCTGCAGAGCAGGATTCATGACCCAAGTCAGCTCTGGGGGAAGTGGCCTAGGTTGGAAGGGATTATACACTACTAAGGTGGAATGCAAGCTGTAAGCCTAGCTGGTACTGACGTCTAGGGCTTCATTTGTTGAGGGCACTCTTTCTCTCTCTTCCTGTCTCTCAGCAGGATCTGGACTAGAATTTGGCCTGGTGACTACATGTGAGACCAGCTCCTCAGGCTTCTTCTGTACTGGCAGGTGTGTATGCTGAGTGGTTGGGGACTGTATAGCTGTCACCAATGCTAAGATCACTCTATCACCCCTTCACACAGTGGACTGGGCTGCCACTACCTGCACCTGGACAAGGGAAGCTGCTCCTCAGACCCCATGCTGGAAGGTTGCCGCATGTATAAACAGTTAGCCAATGGGGTGAGTAGAGAACAGAAAATGAAACTGAGTGCTTCTGGAAGGGACTCAAATTCTAAGGCATCAAAACAGACACTATTCTACCTTCTACACTGCACTTCAGAGTGAATGCTGGAAGAAGGAAAATGGACTCCCACCTGGGGCAGAGAACCCCCATGGGGAGATTTACCATTCTCAGAGTCGTTGCTTCCTTGCCAACCTCACTTCACAACTGCTCCCGGGGACAAGACCAGCAGCCATCCCTCTCAAATCCCACATCTCAAGGGAACAGAGCTCACTGGCCGTTGCTACTTACATCAATGCACACAGAAGGGAGAGTACAAGGTGCAGGTAGAGGGATCATCTTGGGTCTCCTGCCTTCCAGGAAAGGCTATTCAGGTGAGTACCATTAAGAGGAAAAGTTATGACACACTACCAAAAAGAAGGAAGTTAGGAAGTGCTTGTATGGTAGTACTATCCAGCCGGTTTTTAAATTTTACTTATTTAGGCAGCACTGGGGCTTGAACTCAGGGCCTCATGCTTGCTAGGCTGGCACTCTACCACTTGAACCATTCTACCAGCCCTCTTTTTGTTTTGTTTTGTTTTTTGGCAATACTGGGCTTGAACTCAGGCCTTTTTGTGTTAAGTATTTTTGAGATAGGGTCTCACGAACTATTTGCCCAGGCTAGCTTTGAAACAAGGTCCTCCTGATCTCTGCATGCTTAGTAGCCAGGATTACAGGTGGAAGCCATCAGCGCCTGGCATGTGTTGGGTATTTTTGAGATAGGATCTCAAGAACTATTTGCCTGGGCTGGCTTCAAATTGGCATCCTACTGATCTCTGCCTCCCAAGTAGTTAGGATTGGTGTGAGCCACCAGTGCCCAGCTCATTTTTTATTTATTTTTAATTATTTTTTTGGGTGCTGGGATCAAACCTAGGGCCTTGCACTCTGTCACTAAACTACACCCTCATCCCCTATCCAACCTATTTTTGATGTTCAATCACTATTTTTACTAAATACCCAGAATCCATGACTCTGATCTAAAAATGTACATTTCCCTTAGAAGGAAGGCCTGAGCCAGTAACTGAGGCTGTAGCTATACCCTGCCACATATTTCTTTGCAGATACCCGGGTACTACGGCATTCTCTACTGTCCTCAAGGTCGGCTGTGTCAGACTAAAGAAGGTACCAATGCTGTTACTCATCTGCCTGTGAGTCTTCCAATCCAAGACCAGCTATTCCAGCTGTCTTTAGGGTTAGTTGGACCCCCAGGTCACTTACTGGGGAAGGAACAGAAAGAAGAGCTGGCTGAAGTAGTACTGCAGGCTCTGGTGAACAGAGGCGGCACTGACAGGTAAAGGGACATGTCAGGCTGAGTATGTATACAATGGGCCACAGTCCTCTGCAGACTTTCCGTTCATCCCACTCCTAAGCCTACACCTTTTTCATTAGATAGGCTCTTCCAAGAACTAAACCTCCATTAAGAGATCCAAATGTCCATTTAGGTGTTATTTCCACAGCTGGTCAATCACCACTCGTTTGGTATTCACTGTGCATATGTGGAAGTCTCCTGGCTGCCAAGGGCCTTCAGTTGCTATGCTGTACAGTACCCTGACCCTGACTCTCCAAGAGAAGCCCCTAGAAATATATTATGGAGATGCGAGCTTTACTACAAAATACAGCAAGTAAGATAATATTCTAAGTAGTTTTCTTTTGAATCCTGAGTCCAAATATCTGAAATTGTATTTGTTAAGCACTCATGTTTATATTGTCCTAGGCAGGGTTAGATATCTTAGGAAATAAAGATTCCTAACCTCACTTTGGGTTCATCACTATGTCACACTCCCTCCATACACAGTAATGGATCTCCCCATCTTTAGGACTAAACAGTCCCTTTCTTTCTTAACTAAAAAAAATTTATTAGCATAAATTAATTGTACAAAGGGGTTTCATTGTGGTGTTTACATACATGTATATAATGCACTTTGATCAAATTTGTCCCATCCATTATTACTCTTTCTTAACCCTTATCCCCGCCCCGCCCCTTTCCTTTCTTAAGCACTATCCATGTCAAGTACTTAAACTCTTCCCTTAAGCCATTTCCCTCACTGCTGAGTTAGGTCTCCTTCCAACAATTTAAGTTGCTGGAGGACTTGGATCTTGGTCTTGTTCCTACTTTCCAGTTCCACATTCCCTTACTGATTCGTTTAGCGTGATGCTTGGATAAAGCAGTTTCATGGGTTCCACGTTATATAAGTAAAGCTCTTCATCTCTGAAAACTAGGCATGATTCCAGGCCAAATAGTACCTTCTACGCTTCTAGGTTGCTGGTTACCTCAGACCATAACCCCTCCAGTTTTCACGAATTTCTGTCCATGGGACTCTGCCTACTGCTGCTAATTCTGGTAGGTGCACTGGGAACTGTGGCCTATCAGAAACGAGCTACTCTTCAGGTGGGACCATCTGCCCATTACCATCAAGAGATACATGGCACAAGGGCCCAACTGGAAACTAAGGGAAGTGTGATACTACCCAGAACATGACAGGATAGTGTACAGGACATTTCTTAAGAGACAACTGGGCAGAAATTCTATTAGGTTCCCTGAAGTTCTACTTTCCTTAGAGTGTCTCTTTCTCAACTTTATATTAGCTTTGCAACGAAAAAAATAAAAAGGTGAAATGTTATGAAGATCCATTCTTTATTTTGATATAAAAATAAACTGCTTAACCTGTAAAGTTTCACTTATTTTCATACCATTGTAGAATAGCAACAGAATAGGAACATCTGCTACCAGCTCCAAGGAGCTCACATATGCTTTAGAAAAAGCTATTTGATATTTTTACTAATTTTTCATTGCTATTTGGAGTCAAACAGCATGAAAGGTAGAGTACTTATCTTCCTCACCTGATTTTCCATAATTTTACTAAATCACCACTGGGAAACCAAGTAGTTGGCATGTCTCATAATTATGCTAGAGTCTGGTAAGGGTGCTAAAACTAGAAACTATAAAAATACTTTTTCTTCTTTCCTGTTTCTAAGGAGGAAGAGTTTTACTTTATATTCCTCATGGGCCAGCAGCAGTCTTGAGTTTATAACAAGTAGGTTCTTTTTGGTTGTACTTGCAAAAGCACTTATTAAATTCTTGAGGTTTTGACATCTCTTGGAAAGAAGCAAACTAGGAGACAGACATCATCTGTATTTGCTTAGACAAATAACACTTACACCAGGAGTCCAGTTGATACACTGTAAATGTTGAAACTGCCATGCTCATGCTCATGGGCAAGTTCACCTCATTGGAATACCCCCCAAATTTTTAAGGGACACATTTTAGCTCATTGTAGAGTCATGGCCTTCACTCCATCAGCTATTGTTATCTTCTTTGATCTGAATGCCCATCAGTCCTTTCCAGCTGTGGCAGCCACTGCCTGGTAAAACTTTGCCACGAAGTCTGGCTCACTGACCTCCAGCTGCCTGATGAATTCATTACGCTCCTGCTCAGCCCAGCCTCGAAACCACTGATCCCAAAGACGTAGCTGGCACTCAAAAATACAAGGGGGCCGGTTTGCCCCAGATACGCTAAGCTGCTCCAGACCATCCAGCAGTGGCTGTAATTTTCCTGGCACTGCCTTAGCTACCAGGTCCTGTAGAAAACGTTCACGCTGGTAACCTGACCAACTGGCAAACCAGTGAAGAATGCACTTCATCTCCTGGGATGTGATGTAAGACATTGAGAGAGGGGAAGAGTTGGCAATATTGTCTGGCACTGAGGGTAAAGGAGAAGGAAAGGATAATGGCAGCGATGAGGAAGGTGATTCCAGTGGCATCCTGAAACATAAAAACACTTATATATTCTCCACATAGAGCAAACAAAATATGCTTCCTAACAACAATGAATCTATTACCTGGGTCACCACGTACAGCCTAACAAGATCCTTTATTTAATTATTATCTAATTACCTGAGAAGTTACCCAAGAACAACTTCCTAATTGCTAGCTTTCTTTTTCAAACACATTTACCTCCCCAACCCACTGCCCCCTCTACCTTTTTTTTTTTTCTGGTTGTGATTGGGTCTGTTACAAAGCACAGGCTGGCCTCAAACTTGATATCCTCCTGCCTCAGCCTCCCAAGAGCTGGGATTACAGGCATGTACCACCAAACACCCTCTCCACTGTTTTTATACATGTTCTAAAAACAACCAATTGAGGCTAGCCTGGGCAATAACCCTGACAAAACCAAGCGAAGCAAAACAAATGAAAACAAACACTTCTTGCTTGTTCTTTGCCTCCTACTCTTATGCTCCAAGTTGGATAAAAAAAAAAAAATCGTATATAATGAAGAAACCTTTTTTTTTGCAACGTGTATGCCTCTGAAATTTGCGAAGAATTTTATATTATCTATGACCCCCTTTAATATTTCTGTAAAGCACCAAGAAACATTAAAAAGTATCGTGAGGGCCTTACCCCAAATAAGGTAACACAGAAAAACTAGAAGCCACGTTTTCCAGGCTCTGAACTTAGTCCAGTTGGTTTGTTGACTTAGCGGTCTAACAAATGTTAACTGATGCTTGACAATTTGCCTAAGAACAGCTTTCCTTAATGTCTTATGTGATAACTTACTGGTGCCCTGCCACTGATTTTGCAGCATGAACGCAACTGAAAGGTCAGCCAATTTAGCTTGAACAGTTTTCAGTTTACTGAATCCCTACCAACTAAATTCTTACGCTGAGTTGGGGGCGTGGCTCAAGCGGTAAAGCGTTTTCCTAGCAAGCCCTGGGTTCCATCCTCAATACTGTGTTGAGGGGTAGGGGGAGGCTTACAATATTTGTCTATGACGTATATTACTGTTTGTGTTTCTTCTGCAAATTGAGAGATCTGTAGTTACAAAGAAAAGAACCCCCTAAACTACATCAGTTCAAGTACCAAAACAGTTCAGAGTGGTTGCCATTTTCCAAGTGGCCCCACAGGAAGCAGTTCCTTCTAAGGTAACTTTGTTCTCTTATTCCGAGAAAGGGAAACTTTTTCCAAGGTTCTGCCACATGGCTTCCAGGGCAAACTCAAGTTCAGTGTCCTAAGTCAGTTCAATGACTGGGTCCAAAGACACGATGCTGTACCTCTTGTCCATTTTGGATGACATGAGCCCCATTTTCCTATGCCTTCAAAGACCTACAGTGTATTCCTTGAGATTCGGAAGATGGGGAACCGCACGGGTTCCTTTAAGGGAGTGGGAGGCTTGCCTTACTAAGCTCGCAAACACGGAGTCTGATCCGACCCAAGGAGGGACTTCCCCTCTTACCTCCCCTTTCCTCTCAGAGGGCACCCAGAGATCATCACAAGAGTCCTTCAATTCCAACTATCACCACCGCTTCCATGTTTCCTGAAAACCCTAAGCAGCGCCAGCCGGGCAGCCCACGCACTTCCGGTCCCAGACCAGCCGGAAACACCCAAGCACCCTAGCGCCTCAGCCCCAGGTCCGGAGATAGCCGAGAATCTCCGATTATAGCTATCCCAAACTCGAGGGCTTCCGAACAGATTCGATTCCAAAGCTTCGGCAAGTCGAAGACAACCGAGCCTGAAAGGAAGGGAGGGAGGGGGAGCTGCAGGGCGGATGGAGAGAAACGATTGGTGCCGATGTGGAGACGGAGACACCCGAGCTATTCCGGAGGAAACCGGGGTGTTCTGAGTGGTAATCGAGAGGTAGACTATGGCAGTGGGCGGGGTCAGCTCGGTACATTCGAAGGGCGTTGGCGGAAATTACCGAAGATGCCCGAAGCCGTCGGGACGGACCCGAGTACCTCACGCAAGATGGCGGAGCTGGAGGAGGTGACTCTGGACGGGAAGCCTCTTCAGGCGCTGCGGGTGACCGACCTGAAGGCCGCATTGGAGCAGCGAGGCCTAGCCAAGAGCGGGCAGAAGAGTGCCCTGGTCAAGCGGCTCAAAGGGGTAAGGAGTCGGCGTTACCAGGGTGTCGGAGGGGAGCGGACCCGGTAGAGACGAGTCTCCGCCGCGGCGCAGGCGCAGTGTCCGGGCTTGGCGCGAGCTCTCTCAGGCCGCCAGCGCGAGCTTTAGGGTCCGCGTGCACGGGGGTTGGTGTGGCTCGCGCTGGAATAGAGATAGCGCCGGTTCCTGCCTTAACGGCAGCAGCGCGAGCCCAAAATGGGAGGGTGCGCGCTACTCTGCCCGGAGTGTCTTAAGCTCCTTCCTCCTTCCCCCACCCCCTCCTTGTTTGTGTCTGTGGTTTCGGCGCATGCGCTGCAGAAGGAGTTAAATCCCACTACAACCACAGGCGTTGCTGGGCTGAGGGGGGCGAGTTGGGCTGGGTCCGAGTCAGGGGTACAGTTGGGCGGAGGGGTGGACAGGGTTGGTATCTGTATCTGCAAGAATACAATTGGGGTAGGGTAAAATGTCTGCTTGATTAGATTAGGAGGTGAGATGAAAAGAAACCTTGATTGAAGGGATTTTGTGAGAGACCCGTGTCTCATTTATAGGGAATCCATACGCAGTTTGGGTGGATAAGAATTAGGTGGATATTGGTGAGAGGTGAGGCAGTTTGGTTTATGTTGGGGATTGTGAGTCGGTTCAAGTTAGGTGAGGGCAGACTTGTCAGGAGGTAGGTAAATGGATTGGTATGTATGGATTTGGTGTAAGTTGAGGGAAGATGAGGATGTCTTGGTTTTAATTAGAGTTCATTAGGGTACGTGGCAGGTAGTACCTATTAGGGCTAGGTTGGTTCAAGGGGTGAGTTGGTAGACCGTTGCTTATTCAGAAGCTGACAGTTTTGGGGGGGGTATGAATTAGGTCAGACCACAGTTTACAGGGCCTGTGGCCTGTGGCCGTTTTCCCCTTACAAGTTTTTACAAATTTGATAAATCTAGGTATCACTCTCATGGAAATTATTCAGGTTCTCTCAAGTAGTTCTTGATTCAGGCCCAATCAAGCAGCAGCCTATGTTGGTTTCATGTATAGGAAACTTGAGTATTTGAAGTGATTTTGTCTGTATAGCCAGATTTAGAAGGGACTCTAGTCAAAATTTCAGAAAATAATAGGGATTGTAGTAGTGATTCTGTTAACATCACTGATTTTATGATGTAGCCAGGTCACTGGATCTCTGTGTATGGGTGTTTTTATATCTGTCCATTTAGGAGTGGTAACCATGGCTACCTTTAAGGGTTTTCTAAAGATGAATGAGAACAGTATTAGTAAAGGGCTTTGGGGGGCAGACTCAGTAAAAGAAGTGTGTATTGAAGTCATCTAATGAAGAGGTTATGGGGAGGGGTGGACATTTGTTTTTTGTTGTTTTCTCTCTCTCTCTCTCTCTCTCTCTCTCTCTCTCTCTCTCTCTCTCTCGGTTTCTGATTTTTGCCCTTCTCTATACCAGGCTCTAATGCTAGAAAATTTACAGAAACATTCAACACCCCATGCTGCATTCCAGCCAAATTCCCAGGTAAGAAAGGAGGTTTGTTAGATGGAGTGGGCTGTTTGGAAATACAGATACATGTAATGACATGTTGTTGTATATTTGATGCTTAATTCCTAGTCACTATTTTCCTGAGTTCCTTTGATTGGAAATGTTCTCATAGTAGGATGGTTTAATTCTAATTAGGCACAGTTTTACACAAAGGGTTGGGGTAGTAAAACAGAATCAGAGGAGCTATTAGTGAATTTCTAATACTTGAAATGGAGTGTGCCAAAAGATGTGGATGTAATTAAGTAGTAGGGGGATCATGTGAAGTCATTTATTTGTTATTGATTTGGGAAAAGTAGTTGATGTTTTTGAATATAGATATGAAGTAGGACATCAACAGGCAGCGTAGGAAAATAATTCTGAAATTCTTGAAGAACTCTTTTCTTGACATAGATTTTCTAAGATACTGAATCCTTTATAAATCACCCATCATTTCTAGTGCTAACTACTTAACTAATAAATCTTAAATATCTGTAATAACTGTTACTTGGAACAAGAAGCTTAGCATGTGGAGGCCTTGGTTCCTCATTTCTATTATCTGCAGTGTGAAAGATGGTTGGACTGGATCCATAGTTTTATAACTGCTTTGCTGAAGTTTAGTAAAGCTGCTTTAGAGGCTTCCTAGGGAAGATACTTTCTTTTGAAGTAAGTAGGTTCATACTCCATTCTTAAATTAGAACTCCTTTTATCTACTTTTCATATCAAGTTTCTGGATAAGATTTTTTTGAAGATATCCTTCTACAGTTAATAACAAAATTTCTCTCTTTTTTTTGGCAGCACTGGGGCTTGAATTCAGGGCCACTTGAGCACTCCACCAGTCCTTTCTCATGTTAGGTATTTTCGAGATAAGGTCTCAAGAACTATTTGTCTGGGCTGGCTTTGAGCTGCAATCCTCCTGATCTCTCTCTCCTAAGTAGCTAGGATTATAGGTGTGAGCCACCAGCGCCTGGTAACAAAAATTTTTACACTACTTCCCCCCCACACCCAGTACTGGGTTTGAACTCAGGGCCTACATCTTGAGCCACTCCACCAGCTCTTTTTTTGAGAAGGTTTTTTCGAGATAGGGTCTCAAGAACTATTTCCCCAGCTGGCTTTGAACCTTGATCCTCCTGATCTGTGCCTCCTGAATAGCTAGGATTATAGGCATAAACTACCAGTGCCTGATTAGATTGTTCTTTTTTTTTTTTTTTTGGTAGTATTGGGGTCTGAACTCAGGGCCTCATACTTGCTAAGCAGGCACTCTACCACTTGAACCATGCCTACAGCCTACACAATCTCTTAATGTTCCTTTCAGCATTAAAAAAAAAAAAAAAATCCCTTCATTATAACATGTCATACACACACAGGAAAAACCCAGGTCTTTGTTAGTGCAGTGGTGTGCAGCTCCGGGACTAGATGAAGTCCCAGAATACTGTGGTAAACGAGAGCCTTCCTATTCCCTTGTTACTACCTTATTAAGCTATAGGTATATTGTAGCCAGCATTCAGAGGTTTACTTAAGTACTTTACCAAGCATAAAATAGTTTAAAATTGTATTCCTTTTGCTCATTGCATTTTAGACTTTGAAACCTTAATTTATTATTTATTTATTTTTAGCAGTACTGGATTGTATTTTGGGGTTTTTTGGTTGGACTGCTTTTGTACTTGCAAAGCAGGTGCTCTACCACTTGAATCACACCTCCAATTCATTTCACTATGGTTATTTTGGAGATAGAGTCTCTCCAGCTATTCACGCAGGCTGGCCTCGAACCTTGAACCTCCTGATCTAAGCCTCTGAAGTAGCTAGGAGTATAGGTGTGAGCCCCAGGCACCCAGCTAGTACTGAGATACTCGAAATTATGGGGCAGGTACTCTCCCATTTGAGCCATGCCTCCAGCCCCTGAAGCCTTACTATTAGGCTTTTGTTAATAGGATTTTTGCAGCAAACATACTTGTTCTTTAATACTTGCAAGCATATGTCTTCAGTATCCATTGAATACAGAATGACTGGAGGGAGGGAGGTAAGGGAGGAGGTGGGGGAAGGGGGGAGAAATGACCCAAACATTGTATGCACATATGAATAAAATAAAAATTAAAAAAACATACAGAAAGACTCATTTCTTCTTAGGTGAAAATAAACATTTTTGAAGCTTAGGAAGTATGACTAACAACATAGGAGGTATGCAATTTTTGGGGGGGAGGGCAGTATTTTGGTTTGAGCTCAGGGTCTCACTTGCTAGGCAGATGCCTCTACTGCTTGAGCCACACTGCCAGCCCTTTTTTTCCTTGTGTGTGTGTTTTCTGGAGGATTCTAGGAAGAAGAAATTATGAAAAGAAAATGGAAGAACAGACCAGTAATGTAGAAAAATGTGTTAGAGAAAAAAATGGAAAAGGGATAAGTCCCAGGATTTTAAATTTTATTACCAAGGATTTCTCTTCACCCAAAGAAAATAGAGTGGTTTTGCTTGTTGTTTTGGTTGGTTGGTGGTACTGGAGAAAACAGAATTTATAACAAGTGCTGAATGGCTATCCTTTTCTGAGTCTCTTGATTTCATACTTACAAATACTATACTTGAATTTTAGATAGAATGTTCCCTGGATTGTTGGAGCATGATCTTTTGAAAGAACTAGTACCTTCTTCCTCTCAATTTTGATACTACTTAGAGGAAATATATTAACTGTGTGTTTTTATAGTACTACGGCTTGAACCTCAGGGCCTGTGCTTGCCAGGCAAATGCTCTACCACTCAACCCACACCTTCAGCTCCTACATTATCTTTAATGTTCTAGATTATCTAAACATTTAATTAAAGGCATAATTCAGGTTGAAGATGTAGCTCATTGGTGGAGTGCAATGTACAAGGCCCTAGGTTTGATTCCCCAGCACCACAAAAAAAGGAAGGGGGGCATAATTCCAGAAATTCTTACTTCTTTTTAAGTTACTTGTGCACCAACACAGTCTTCGGTTAGGAACTAAATATTTTAATTAAAAAACTACTCTAGTCCCCTTTTTGC